TGACCCCCAGGCCTGAGAAGCATCCTTTGAAATCGACGAATCACACGACGCCTTGCTGGTATGTTAGCCTGATTGACAGGGCACACTCAGCAAGGGGGCGAGGGGGCAGGGAGAGAGGCATAGGCACACCTGGGAAGGGACTCGGAAGTTTAAAACAGGACATTGCAACACACCACAACATCTAAGGATCACACCATGTGCCTGAGAGCATTGTTGAAACATTTCTCGAACTCTGTCAGCCATAGTACTGTGAGCACTGCCCTGGGAAGCCTGTTCTAGCGCCTAGCCACCCTCTGGATAAGGAACATTTTCCTGATAGCCAACTTAATCCTCTCCTGAGAGAAACTAATTTCATTCCCATGAGTCCTGTTACTGGTCATGCGAAGAGTTGCTTTAGCAGCAAAAACTTGTAACATAAGTTTTGAATAGTTTTCTAAACAGTATGCTCAAATTCCCTCAAAAACTACTGAGTTTAATATAAAATCTCAAAATGGTCTTGTCTGTGGTACAGTTAACTGTGTATCAGCAACATTAATATTATTGATATCTTCTGGTTTTAAAAACTGATGAGTCTAGTATTTATTACATAATTTGTCATTTTAAGTGACATTTCTGTTTTACTTACCAATTTAAGATTAGCAAGTAATTAAATTGTATTGTTTTAATCTCTCAGTCAGCCTCAACCTATTTAAAGTTTGGGTTTCTTTTTGGTTTTAGTATTTAAATGTATGTGATGAGGCAACATCCCTTACCTGTTTCACTTTACAGACATCTGGGTAACTAAAAGATCCCTACAGGATCCAGCTTCTGTCACTAAGGAGAGGCTGTATTCTTGATTCTAATTTTATGGTAAATTATCCAATATCCTGAGTTAGAAGGGACCACAAAGATCAACTCCTGCAGCTGTGCAGGTCATCCCAAGAATCCCACCATGTGCCCATGTTTGAGAGCGTTGTCTAAACATTCCTTGAAGTCCAGCTTTTTGTTCTGTCACTGGTCATCAGAGTGAAAAGATCAGTATCTGCACCTCTGCTTGCCCCTGTGAGGATGTTGGACACCCCAGTGAGGTCTGTCCTCAGTCTTCTTTTCTCCAGGCTGAACAAGCCAATTAACCTCAATAAAATGTTTTATTGTAAATGTTTTGTTGCTGCTTCCAGTAGCTTCTAGAAAGTAATGCTTGTTAGGCTTCTTTTTTTTTCTTTGTTTTTTTCCCATTTTGATTACTGATTATGAGGAGCAGACCTATAGCCTGACTTTTGAAGCTCTGGTTTTGAGCCTTTTTTTTAATGATGCAGTATATGGAATTTTAATAAATTCATTGCCTTTGTACTACTTCATGAATTTTGGTGAATGATAATCTGGAAAGGATCAACAAGAAAGGATCAACAAAAATGTGAAATACAGCCTTGGCAAAAGAAGAAGAAGTGAATAATATTTTGTTATCATGATGCTAAATATTTTGCCTAAAGATTATCCCAGCATTGACAGAGTGTCTAGAAGTTCTTGTACCTTAATAGCATCAGATACATATGCTGTAAAAATAATACAGCAACAGGACCTTTCCTAAACATATTTATTCTGGTAACCTCAGCTCTTTTCTGTTTATTCAGGTGTGACAGATCCATCGTTAATAAATCAAGGCAGACAGCTCTGGACATTGCTAAATTTTGGGGGTACAAACACATAGCTAATTTGTTGGCTAATGTAAAAGGTGATCAGAAACCTATTTTTTTGTCAAATGATGTGAAAGAATATGAAAATTATTTTGGCATGACACTTCTGGACAGAAGGAGTGATAAAAGAACAGATTCTAAGTGGCTCAGTAAAAAACAAAGCCATCCAGCTACAGTGTACATCCTCTTCTCAAATCTGAGTCCCTTGGTTACTTTGGGTGGGGGAAGAGAGAGCTCGCAGCAACCAGAAGTAAAGCTTTGCAGGTTGTGCCACAAGGATGTGGAACAGTTCATGAACCAAACTGAAGAATGTACCTTGATTTTTCTTGGAGTGGACCTTCAGTTTGATATGAACCTGATGGCTGCTTGCAATGGAAGAGTTCAGCAAGAAGATGAAGATGGGTTAGTTGCTTGGTTTGCTCTTAGCGTAGATTCTGCTTCTGCTGAAAAATTTAAACAGAAGCATGAGGACTGTTACTTTCTTCACCCACCGATGCCAGCGCTACTGCAGTTACCTGAAAAAGAAGCTGGTAAGGTGCATAAAATGCAGCAAGTACAAAATGCATAATCAGAAAGATACACTTTGGTATTCCCTGAAGTATAATTCAAAGAAAAGACAAAACACTGCAAAGAAATTGTGTTTTCAGTGGTTTTAGAAATATTTTGGTTTTAAAACCTGGTAGTGGTTTGTGAAGAATTTTGTATGTAAGAACATTTGCATTTGCAAAGGACTAATTTCTGCAATGACGGTATTAGACTGTAAAACCTATTGATCATCATGGGTTTTAAACAGTACTATTTAAATATTAATGCACAAATATTTTAAACATAAAGGAAAAAAAACTGTCATTACCGAGTTTTCAGTAATTAAATTGTTAATTAAAATTAATAATTATGAAATTATTGCTTACAAGAAATGAGAACCTAAGTCCTTCATAATAGTGTGTTGGATACTCATTTGACAAGACAGTGTTGAAAATTTAGGATAGCAAAGTGAATTTGTGTTAGTAAGGACATTAACAATAAGTGTTGTTAATGACTGCTATTGTAACAGTTGTGTTTTTACATAAGGATGAAAGGAAAGCTCAACTTGAGCCTTAAGTTTAAATGGAACAATGCATTATTATGTCAATACCTGTAGTAGCCCTGAAATGGTCATCTGAAGAAGACTTGATACATGTAATTTTGGCAGTTTGCCTACATAAAGTGACATCTGTGAGAAACAGGGTATATTGATCTGGATAAATTTGTTTCTGACTATGTGTAAATTGCCCTGTAGCTCTTTAATACTGTGTTCTATTGTGTTTGCTGTGCTACAAAGAAAAAGTCTGCATAACTCATTTTGCTCAACTTCTCTTGTAGCCATAATTATGATTCAAACCACACTCTGATTTTTTGTGTTAAAACTCAGAACTTGATTTTTCTATGCTGTTAAAACTTTAACATGAATTAATATTTGATTTTGTGCACTCTCATTGTATTCTTTTAAAGGAGTAATAGCCCAGGCGAGATCTGTTCTAGCATGGCACCAGCGTTACCGATTCTGTCCAACATGTGGGAGTGCAACCAAGACTGAAGAAGGGGGTTACAAGAAAACTTGCTTAAAAGAGGGTTGTCCCAGTCTCCAAGGAGTTCACAACACATCATATCCAAGAGTTGGTAAGAACATTCACTCAAAAGTGGCTTGCTTTTAAATGAGTTGCTTGTAAATTGCTATGCATGTAGGTCAATTTATTTCTAGTTATTTCAGCTGCTTACTTCTGTTCTAGGTCTTCCATACTACTTGTTTCTCCACAACTGTGGAGTGTTGTGTGTGTTCTCCACAGCTGTGTATGTCTCAGCTCTGTTTAGGATTAAGTAGTTCAGGCTTCTCTTTGTTTCACTAGTCTGTGATACAGAATTGCTGTGATAATGCAAACCTTATTTCAACAACTAATATCAGTTAGAAGTTCCAAGAGTATAAATGAGAATTGGCAGTATAAAGGGTCACATTCTACTTTTTTACTTAAAACTAGATGACAGTAAAAAGGGGAAAAGATCACAAGTTGATAGGGCTGCTTGGACCAATAGGAGAAAATATTACGTTAGTAATATTTTAAAGTTTTACTAGTTAGAAAGAAAAGGATACAATGACCAGAAGTGAGAAAATTTCTCAAATGCAACATCATATGAAAAACTGATAGCAAAGAGTAAATGAAGTCAAAGGTGGAAAGTAGTCAGTATTGACGTCAGCAAAGTGTCTAGTTATTTGGTGTTTAGTCAAAAAGACATTCTTCAGACCTCTGTGGTGAAGAGAAGATGATAATAAACGAGTTTGTTGCAGAAACTGTTGGTATATGCTGGATGCATATGTTAGTATTGCTGATTAGTACTGACTCTTAGCAGATTGTGTCCTTTGGTTACAGGTAATTTCTATCCTGCATTTCAAGCCTTTGGTTAGTAAGCTGCTTCTACTACGCACTTATGTTGCGCAACAAAATAAAGATGTATCTTGCATGGAGGGTAACCCCAAAGTGAAACGAAATAACAGCTTGCTCTGGGTACAGACGCAGTTATGATTTCAATATAATTTTTGCCCTTATATGCATTGGTATGGAATAGCTAGAAGTTTTTACTGCATTAAGTCTCTCAAATGTTGAAATATATTCATTTCATGTCCTTTGCAGATCCTGTTGTGATAATGCAAGTCATCCATCCAGATGGCAACCATTGCCTTTTAGGTAGGCAGAGGAGATTTCCCCCAGGAATGTTTACCTGCCTAGCTGGATTTGTAGAAGCTGGTGAGTAATTTTGTTTTCCTTTATCAAGTGTATTTTCTCAATGAAAGTATTATACCATTACAATTACAGAGAAATATAATTTGTGTTATCTCAAATTGAAGTTTTCTTGCTTCATAATAGATGAGTTGTTACAATAAATATACCCATTCTGTACTTTGCAGCTGTTGATTTGTTAAAAAAAAAGCGAAGAGCAACTTGAGTAAATAAAAATACGGAACAGTTTTCAAATCATGTAGTCTTAAATCACTACCTAAAAGAAAAAAAAAATATTTTAAAACCCGTCACCTTGGCTGGTGATACTTTAGGTGAAGGATTTTAGCATAGAAAAAGTAAGTGTTAAAATCTGAGTTAAATCTGTCATTAAGATAAGCGTATACTTAGGTGTTTAGGGCCTGATTGATTCTACAGAAATAGATAATAAGTAGAAATTCCATAATTCTGAAAGAAAGATAAAGAGATTTTTCAATAGCTATGTCAAGCAACAATAGTTGAAATTAGTTACAGTTATAAGTACCTGCTGATCAACTTGCAAAATATTCTATATTGTGAACAGATCTTTATCACCAGTGAAATTATAGTGAATAAATATATTCAGTAAACATGTGCAGGTTTACATACAGTGACAGCATGAACAAGTTTATTCAGGTATCATTTGAAAAAAGTCAAAATATTTATTTCTGATGGATGGACTCTGTCCTTTAACGAACCTGTAACCAGTGGTTACAGCACAGTGCATGTGCACCTATGTAGGCTGACCATCAGCATTCCGCACACATGCACCTACAGTTTTCTATGGATATGAAAGCAGAGCTTTCCATTGCAGTTTCAATTTACAGTGTTGTCTCCATGTGTTAAGGCAATGAAGAATGAGTCAGGCAAAGGGAATAATACAACGCAGAAATGTGAGCAAGTATTCTAAATCTGTTTTCTTAATATTGTAATTCTAAATACTGATTTTTCAAGTTGTAGTACATGCTGTTGCAATCATACTGAAAATCCAGAAATTAACACTGCTAGCTACAAATGAATGTTTCAAGAATAATTAGAGGAATTATGTATTTTCTACTTAATTTTTGACATTTTAGATATAGTGGTTTGTGTGTATAAGGAATTACCAATTCAGAAAATAAATATTATAGTGGAGAAATGACTACACTTTATTTTCAAAGTTCCATTTTGCTTTTGTGGCTGTTTTACCTTATTAGACTTTTGTGTCTTGTGCTGAGGTCTTTGCCCTGATCTGTGAACTAGATCTTTATAGCTAATTGCCTTGGGCAGTTTCAAATCTTTTGAGATAGTTCAAAGCACAGCATGTGTTCATTGCTTGGAGTATTTTCATGAGCTGCTTGTTCTTTGCCCTTTTTGATTAGGTGAAACCATAGAAAATGCTGTTCGAAGAGAAGTAGAGGAGGAGGCTGGAGTGAAAGTTGCCCATGTTCAGTACATCTCTTGTCAGCCGTGGCCAATGCCCTCCTCCCTAATGATTGGCTGCTTAGCTGTTGCAGTGTCCACAGAAATTAAAGTCGACAAGAATGAAATAGAGGATGCACGCTGGTTCACTAGAGAACAGGTAAAGTTCAATTTCATTTTCTTCATCTATTGATTAGTCTGTGACTGTATTGGTTCTGGCATACAACAGACACTTGCTTTTTCAGCAAGCCAAATAAGCATGTGTACTCTTCATTTTGTCATACAGCAGAGCTGGGATCAGTGGAGTAGAGGTGCCGTAGGGCTGGGATTAGTGGAGTAGGGGTGCCTTCTGGCAGGAGGTGGCCTAGTGAGATGGAGAGTTGGTTGTGCAGTCCTGTTAGGAGGGTGGCTAGTCATATGGGGAAAGCTAGGACTAAGTTTATAGATAATTGGGTGGTTGGGGTAAATGTGTAAGGTAGTAGGCCTAGAAGATTAATGAGTAGGAGGAAGATTATGAGGGATGTTAAAATTAGGGCTCATTTGTGTCCTATTTTGTCTAGGGGTATTATTAGTTGTTTTGTGACTAGGTTGATAAATCATAGTTTGAGAGGCAGTATATTGACAGTGTAGGTTAGAAAAAGATAGGTATTCACAGTAACGTCTGAGTTACCTGCATGCTCATTTTATGATGTTTTTGCCAGTTTGCTCTTCACCTTTCCCTTCTGTGAGATAGTCAAGTTATTTTAACCCGTGTCCTTAGCAAGCCTGTGCTTTTCATGCAGTAGTAATATTTAATAGCATTATTCATTACAGTTTCTCCAAACAGGCATGCTACCAGATATGCTGTGAGGGTGGAAGTTAAAGTAAGGACTCTGGGAATTAATTAGATTGAATATCTTTTTTTTCATGCAATACTATTTTAATACTCTGTTATTAAATGCAGCTTACTATGCATTAATAAGAAATCCTACCCTTAGCTTCCATCAGTAGTTAAAATACAGTGAAATAAAAGGCTGAAAAGACTTTCACAGAGATAGTTCATGAATAGAAGGAAAGGTTGCTTGCAAAACTTAGTTTTCACAGGTTTTCCTATGGGCAACTTAGAAGCTAAGCTGTTAATAACACTGGACATCTGCCTAGCTGTTCAAAGCATTTTGACTGTAAGTCTCCTTGAAGGCAAAGTTAATCACCTACAATCTCAGTGTGTTTCTGTTAACACTGGGAGCATTATTTTAAGGGAATATCAGTTCTGAATGCAACTAGTAGCATGCAGATTGGCGTACAGCTGGAAATAAGCTTCAAAAATGTGCTGAAACTGAATTCACGTTACTTGCAACTTCTTCAGAAGACCAAGAAAACACATTTCCATGGCACTACATGTAAACATTAAAAAAAATATTTTTGTCATAGTATAGAGCACCATCTGGTGGTCCTTGCCATAAAGAAGCTTCACAGAAACCTTCAATAATATACTAGCGGTCTCCGCAGTTCTGTTAGGAAGAAGGTATTTTTTGGAGCACATTAGGCTCAAAAATGTCATAATTCACACAATGTTGGACTTTCTCTGTATTTACCTTGTAGAATCTCTTAGTAGCTCTTTAATGGGTATAACAGTGGCAGACTGATGGATCATTATAGGAAGATCATTTCTGAATCTGAACAATGTTAGATTCTATATAGTTTATAATGCTATCTTCTAAAGGTGAAAAAATCTGCTTTTATTGCAGGTCGTGGAAGTTCTCATTAAAGGAAACCAGCGTTCTTTCTTTGTACCACCAAGTCGAGCTATTGCACACCAGTTGATGAAACATTGGATTGGAATGAACGCTAATCTTTAGTTCAAATAATTGATTTCTTTAAGTTACTTCTTCTATTGAATGCCTTCTTAGGAACAAATTAGAACAATTTGTCTAGTGAATGTGTAACCAAGTGATTTTCTGAGTCTTCACATTGGTTCCAGAGCTAAACCATGCGATCTTTGTAGGTATTTTCTGACCTGAATTAGATTGGGACAAAACCCAATCATTATCCCAAGCAAGCAAACACCAAATAAGTAGAATTGGTACCTTGTTGAGTACAGGCTTTCTTGTTCTAGAATGAAATTATTATGCCTTTTTCTTTACACTTCTTATGTTTGATTTGGTCTTCCCCCACTGGAAGGATTCATAGCATTACAAAGTGGGCTATCTGACCTTGCCTGGTACTTACATCCTCCTCTTTGGCCTTAACTGTTTCTCTCTCATTTTTGCATATGTCCATTTTTTAAATTTGACCTGTCACAAAAACCTACATTCAGTGCTGAAAGCCTTACCAAGTATGGTTATTCTAAAGTCAGTAGCATATGTAACTAGTGAATATGTGGTACTTCGTATCTTTTACATTAATAACCTAATTTATGTTAATGCTCAAAGCAGAGCATTTGCTCGTACATTCTGACTTGGCTTGCACTTACCCAATTGTATGTCAGCCTGAATTTAAAGGTATAACACAATACTTTGTTTTTGAAAAAGGTGTTGGAGAACTATCCCTGAATGCCTAAGTATTAGTGTTTTCATAAGATAATAATGTACTTAACTGATGCTAGGCAGTGAGTAATTTGATTCTCTGATAATTAGAAATGAAATTACAGAATAATGGAGAAGGAGGAACAAGATGTATCTCAAAATATGCACAAAGTTCTTTATGGAAATAGAGATGCCAAGATTGTTACTGCTATTAAGAATCTTATATTTGAAAGAAATATATTAACTGCAGCTATAAGACTGCAGGGATATGTTAATTAAAATATGTATTTAGGTGTTTTTAATGCTACAGTTCAGATTTGTGCCTTAATTTATCAAGTTATTTAGGATAGTGTTGATGTTCTGAAAAGAGAAGTATATTGGTTTAATATAAATTTCATTATGTAATAGTTCATAGTCTGTCATTCTGCAGTCATTGCAGTGATGTCAAAAGGAATGCACATAACCTGAGGAAGTTGTAGTGACAAATGTAAACTTATTATTTTGTGATTTGTTTATTTGGAGTAATTTGTTTTTAACAGTGAATGGTGTCACATTTTTTTCCAAAATTGTCAGCAACCTGGAATCAGTAAAACTGTTGTACAAATCCTGATTGTACTTTGTTTTCCCCATCCATGTCGCATTATGCTCAGCAGTTTCCATGGTTTTTTTGTAAGGCAGTACCTAAGAAACTTTAAAGCAAGAAGCCTTCCTGACAGATTTGGAGTATTTGACATATTATGTTGCTTCATTCTCTTCCTTGTTTTAGCCATATATAAAAATAAATACAGGTTATTTCTTGTCTGGCAGGGAGAAGGAAACAATGCAGTGCTTCCCTTAAAAATTGCTTTTACAGAGAAAGTGAGTTATGGAAAGCTGTCATAGGGCGCACGTACCAGCAAGACTGCATGGTAACAATGGCAATTATCAGTTGCAGGTTGCTCATAGAGTAAAGGAGAATATTGGAAAGTATACAAAAAGTGGTGAAAGCTAAGCAGTGAAAGGAAGTTTCAACTAGTGCTGTGGTGATTACATTCAGAGAGATGAACAAAGGAATGAGGAGCTAGATGGAAGAAGGAGGATAAAGTGTAGAACAAATATAGGTAGCATAAAAATAAGTAGTTTATGGCTTTGAGGTAGCTAAATGTACATGACTAAGACCCATAGGAATACTTCTAGAACTATTGGAACAGTTCTTGTGTAGAAAATTATGGTGAGTGGCTATAGAGATGTGCTTCTAAAAGTGAAACTCCAAACACAGTATCCCTAATTAAAACTGATGTTAATAATCTGCTTAATTTTTTTTTGAGAATCTGTGTACCAGTATATATGTGCAGTTACAAGGCTAATAAGTAAATTAAAAATGTACACTTTTATGTATGAAGAAAACCAGAAAAATATGACAAAAGGAACAACACCTAATCTCTGATTTTGAGAGTAATCTTTTAATGATCTTTCAAGTTTAATAATTTAAGTGTCAACGATTTTTAGTCTTTATAGATATTCAAAATCTAAGCCAAGCTTCTGAAAATGGTTTTGAAAGTTTCTTTTCCTTTTTCCCTTACCAAGAGAAGAATTCCATTTGCAGGGAAGAAGACAAACCTAAGAAAGCTAGTTAGATAAATTTAATCCATTTAAGAAAAGACTTTTCCTGGCTTTTTATTGGTTAATTTTCCTTTTTTGTATGTCAGGGTTTGAATTTATTTCAAAATTACCTATACATTGTAAGGACAGTTACTGTTTGCGGTTTACACAGGAAATGTCAAATTGAAGAGCCAAATTCTGTGGTTTTCTGGCAACTATGGCAGTTCAGGAAAGTTTAATTTAGAAACAGTTGAAGAGAGTGTAGTGGTTCTGACTGGAGTATTGTATGGGCAACACCTCCAGAAGATCTCAGTAGTTCACCTTACTCAAAAGACAGCAGCAGCTTTGAAAGCAGGCTAATTCTTGCCATGAAGTTAATGCAGTAGATTAAGAGAATAGTGTTACTTACTAAAAAGAGTGGTTTTTTTCTATGCTGTGAGTAATGATCTGTCACTTTTCTCCTCTCCTTGTACAATGGTATCAGACCAAAAATAGTACTCCTGATATCAAATGTACAAGGCAGAAAATTCTGGAGATGTCTTTTATCCCAGTTTGCCTGTGTACTAAAGAGAACTACCTTCTATTCAGTGTATAATTTGAAAATAATATGTATTTTATCTGTTTTTATAATAATTTAGAGATAATAGAAATAGTAGCTTAATAAAGCAGGAAAAGATAATTAGGTCTTTGAACACAAACCAAAATTGATACTTCAAATGAAACTGTAATCTCATGCAATGTAATGACATTCTATGTAAGTATAATACTGGTTATGATATTTTTACAAACTTTGCATTTGTCCTAATAAACATGCTACTTTTAACTCATTTTTCATTCTGGATATATGTAAACACATGAAAAGGAGAATCATTCCAGTGTTGATTCTATAATTTGAACATTATGTTTTCTATAGGAGCATTGTCAAGTCAGTACTTGCCAATTAACTGATTACTCATTGAAGTCTGATTACGTTGAAATCTGCAAGATGTGAGGGAAAAATGGGTGGATGTTAACAGGCTGATTATAGGTAGACCAGTCATGATGCTTCATGGAATTAAATATACTAATCAGATTCTGAGCTTAGCAGACAGAAATAGAAAAAGAAGTGGAACAAGGCTGTGAACATTGCTCCCTCTTTTATCTTTAATTTTAATTAGGTAATCTGATTGATTAAGGCTTTTCAGATGGAGCTGGCGTTTTGTAGCTGCTGGATAATTTAGTTGTTATTTTATTATCTGCTTTATGTGTAAAGAGTTAAATAAGTGATAGTCCTTCATTGCTTCATTGATTTGAAGGATATGTATATACTGTATATCATTGCTGACTGGGTTTGATGGTACTTATGGGGGTAAGTCTAGAGAAAAAAAATTGAACTTGTTATCCTATTAAGCCTTAGTAAGACAGCCAGCCCATCCTTCATGAGCTTAGAAAAGCAGACTGTTCACAGTCCGTAACAGCAAACATCTGAGGAAAATGAATATTGGATTATATTCAATGGTAAGTATAAACCTTTTTCTGGTAAATTAGACTATTTTAATTAGTATTCTGTAGCTACTAATTGTTACAATTCATCATAAATTTTGTTAAATAGAAATTCTGCAGATTTTTTTCACAGTAAGGAAATAAGACTGTTTTCCTAAATGATAAGATTTTTAAGACAGATACTTGATTCCTAAATCTGTATTGGTTATCTTATTTTAGCATCTAAGTACTATAAGTTTAGTGGTATATAATTTTGGAAATTAAAGCCTACTTGTATGAACTTGCATTTGTTAGAAGTATTGGCTTTCTGCAACCAGCATTTCACACTGGAATATGAGGAGTGCTATGATAAGACTACAGAATTAGTAGTCAAGAAGGAATATTGAGAGTTGAGTTGAGAGAAGAGGATGCTGTTGAGTAGAGAAGCTTACATTTTAATTTTTCAGCACTTAAGTAAGCCTGGATAGTAAATTTTTTCCTCCTACCATTTCATCATCCTGGAAACTAGTCTAGCTTTGGTAAAGTACATCCCTATTTCTTTCCAAGGAGAGAAGCATTCTAATGTTCAGCTCAGAAATGCTGGTATTTTCTCAAGACCTCTGCCAAAGCTAAAAAAGAGTGTATGGAATAAGTGCCTCAAATTCTTTTGTCACTCTAAGTCTAAATTGCTCCTTACTTACTTCGTATGAATTGCTCGTCTGGAGAAAGTGACCCTAGAAACTACATGGTCAGGAAGTATGGTTCCCATTTCAGTCACCAGATATCAAATCCTAGAAGATAGGATAGGGTGACAGATTTTGCCCATATTGCATTCTATGAACAATGGAATATTTTTCATATATGACGGTAGTTTAAATTTTATACTGCCAGACATTTTGACAATAAAAAAACTACCTCATTTTCAGATAAAATTTTTATAGTATGCAATTACTCAGCAGGGGTTTTTTGGGGGGTTGAGTATAAGCAAATACTTTGAATTTACCTGGTTTCAGTTAAGAGGGACAAGGAATTCTGAAGCTCAAATAAATTGGATTAATTTATTTGAGAAAGAATTGAGAAAGAAATTTATTTGAGAATGATTGAGAAAGAATTATAGTATTACATGACAGTAACTCCTTTCAGTATAGAAACTCCGTTTCATTTTTGGAAATGGTTGTTATGGTTGTTATAGATGTCATTGCTAATGTATGTTATAGTGAGATTTCTACTAGTTTCATTGTCAATTGTTGCATCACATCTGTATGGTATTTCTGATACCTCATTTTTGGTACTGACAAAGCATGAATTCCATAGATAGCGCTCTGAATATCAGAATGACAAACTCACTGACATGAATAGGCTAATCCAGCTCTAAAACAGAAATAGCAGATATCCAACAATGTAAACAGAAATGGAAGTTTATATGATTTTTAAAACACATTTTCAGAGCTTTTGATGAAGGAAAATTATTTTATGCAGTAGAAAAGAGAGGTCCTGCACAGCAAATTCCATTCTCTGTTTATAAATATGTTTTTACTTTTATGATAATAAATACATGAACATCCATTGTAGTGAAGTGTAGAATAATAATTTTTTAGTAATTGTGTTAAAATCATGATGGAATGTTTTATAGACCATTCACAGCACCGAGGCTACCTACTAGTCTGCTGTAGTGTATGGCAGTGCACAGTGCTGCTGCAGAAATCAAGTATCTCCAACATCTAAAATAAATGTTTATTAATACATTTTTTTGTCTTCTGTTGCAAAAGCTCAAAATAATTAACCAAAAAGCAGAATTACTTAATAAGTAGACAGGAGCTTTACAGGACATGAGTTTTACATATGATTTAGCAGGATTAAAAAAAAAAAAAACAACTGACTTCACTTCTCTCTAAAAAGGCAGAAATAGATGTGTATGTACAGCCCATGATTGCTAATCTATATTTCACTGCAACTTTGCTGGTAACTGCATTCTTAGTGCTGAGTTAAAATAGTCTTGAAAACATTTGACTCACTGCAATTGTAGTAGCATTTTGTGAATCCAAAGTGAAGTGCCTGCAGGGAGGCAACTTCAATATATTGTAGAGAATAATATAACTATTAATTCTTTTCAAAAGATTGGTAAAAATCTATTCAACGATTCATTTTGTGTCCATTTCTGCTTGTAGAAAAGTCAAAAATAATGCAAAATCTAATTACATGGGGTTTGGGTTTCCTAAATATGTGGATTTATGACATATGTGATAGTTTAGTTGTTTAGACAGTAACCTTCCATCTGAATCAGAACCGAAGAGATACTGACTGGTATTTGCAATCTTTTTGTGGTCTGAAAAAAAAAGTGCCACTGTAGCAGTGAGGAACAAGTGACATGGACCCCTTTATGCATCAGAAGGAGATCCCTTTATTGTAAAAAAATCACACCCTTTTTATGCCTTTAATCTCTACCTGACATAATTGAAACCAAACTGAGACTTAACAGAAAGAAGGCACCCACTGTCTGCCTCAGCTGCAGTGCTGCTGTCCATGCATCCTATCATCTCATCAGCTTCCTGCCCTTACATGGCCCGTGCATTCCTCCAGCCAATCACACTCTCATTTCTAGCGGACTCTTTCCTCTCTCATAACTGCCTCTCACCTCTCAACCGACTTCCAGCTGTCCATCCTGCAGCTGTGCCTTTCCCATGGGGCCTTCTGATGAGCTTAAGCCTTAGCAGCTTTAATAATCATAACCCCATAATAATATATAACCCCATAAAATATTTTCTTTTTTATTAAGCAACGAAAACATACTAGGAAAAACCTACACAACTCCTAAGACATTAATAACAGGGACAACAATAATAACTATTACAACTTTTCAAAAACTGTAACATAGGCTTATAACATAGTAACTATATATATACATTAATTCAGGATGCTGTGACAGAAGGCCGCACACACCATGATGGAATCCACTGCACATGATGGCCCGTGGAGAGGCAGGCATATCCTCTTCCCCATGTCAGCAAGGCCAGTGGTCCTTTCATTCTGCAGTCAGTAGATCCCTTTACCATCACAGGAGGTTTTAGATGGGCCTTCATGTCAAAAGGGTACTGCCTTTCACATGCAGTTTGTCTCATAGAAATTTAAAAAGTTAAGAACCTACAAGGCTTTAGCTCATGAGGGCACCCCAACTCCCCGCCTCTTTGTTTTTCAAGCAAGGATTTTAAGATTTTTATGGACACCCTCAACAACAGTACAGTTCATGACATAAAATGGTTGATCAGTGGGTCCTAGCAGAGCACTTGTCGTAAATTGAGTTCACTAATCCACGTTTTATTGTGTGTTTCCTTTGGGTGCTCTATTCTCAGAACTAAGTGAATACTGTCATATATCCACTGAGTCCATTTGATTGGAATCTGATTATTTTCAGACATAGAGTTCATGATTTTAATAATTTTACAAAGGGCTATATGGTACTGGTACAGTCCCTGTAAATGGCTGCCTTCTTCCTTTTTTCTAGACATTTTGCAGACATTTTTGAGAAAGCCAGTTTTTTCAGGAAAATACATAGGTGAGACTAAGCAAGTGAAGACAGGATCCATTCCAGCTGAGGCAGAGAGTGAGAAACACTGCTAAGACAGGCATTTTTTACACATTTTATGTATGTTTGACATAAACATTCTTTGACACTAAATGTATTCTACAGTACTTCAGAAATGTGTGTTCGGAAATTATTCAAATAAAATTCTAGTGGAAGCTTGGTAAAGAGAAAAAGGCAAAACTAGAATGTATTTCAATAAGGTGTATTTCAATGAGATAAGTAAAAGGTAAATCAATGATGAACCCTTTTTGCCTACTCTCTGTGGAACTCAAGACTGTCCTATACTACTCGTTCTAATGACATTGTAAATTATATGTGGGGCATCTACCCCAGTGTATAAAATGTAAAGTAGGGAAAATGCCACTGACCACAATCAGTGCAGAAAATAAAAAGAGTAAATCAAGTAGTAAACTTTAGCATTTGCCTAGACATATTTGAGAGTCTCATATGGCTTTGGATAATTCTGTTTAGAGTTTCTATGGTTTTAACTGTGTCAATTACTTCACTGTGAGGCACTGAAACAGGTCACTCAGAGAGGCTGGGGATGCCCCATCTCTGGAGGTGTTCAAGGCCAAACTGGATGGAGCTTTGAGCAGCCTGATCTAGTGGAAGGTATCCCTGTCCATGGTAGCAGTGTTGGGATGAGATGATCTTGAAGTTTCCTTCCAGCATGAGCCATTCTGCGATTGTCTAATTCACACTGGAAAATTCAAACTTCAGTAATTAGAGGAGAGAGACTGGACCACACATAGCTAGTAACTTGCGAAGCAAAGTCAAAGCTATTATTAGTATGGAACACTAGAAGATTGTGAAATACAAAGAGACACAATGGAAATAAATGAGAATTAAATTCAGTGTTACTAAGTTCATCTAAGGAAACAGGGACAAAAATGATTCTGTATCAAAAAGGAGGAAATGTTGAAATGCAGAAGGAAAGAGAAGTAAAATATTCTTCTTTGAGAAAGGCCTGTTTTGGTAGGCTGTGACATCATTGTTCAAAGTCTGTGAGCACTGTAGAATTCAGTAGGGAGGTATACAGTGAGGTACCTCTGAATATAATCATAGCCAAAATCTTCATAGATTTTGGCTATGAATAGAGCATAGGATTCTGAATTATAAGATACTTACAGCCTCAAAGGGTAGTTTATATTGTCCTGAAAAAAAATTATTTTTCAAATTTATTGTGTCATTGCACCATTCTGATTCAGCATTAGCAAATATATTCTCTGTATTTTCCTTTCTTTTTTTACCTTTGTCTTTTCTGACAGTCTCATCCTTATAGGTTCACTGAACATGGTTGTTTAGAAAACAAAAGAACACATGTAGTTTCACATAAAATCTTCACTATATAAACATATAAACATAAATTAAAATAGCTCCTATGTTTTCAAATCTACTTCCAATCGGTTTTTTTAAGGCATTTTTTCCTGCATAACAAGATGAACTCAAAGACATTCGTTACATTGGTTTTGGGTTTTTTTGTTTTAGCTTTCATTTTCTCAGAGTTTGTCATCATCTGCATTAACCTGAAGGAAACAGCATTATAGATGTTATCAACAATGAAAATAAATACGTTCTAAAGAGAGATTTACCTGTATTTATAGTGGGATATAAATACAAACATTTCTAGATTGATCTTTTACTCAAAATTAGGATGTTGTTATTCTGAGCTAACCCAAGCTGTAATCTATGTAGTAAGAGTTACCTATTATGTAAGAAACTATGTCAATGGACTTTGACTTCCACCCAGGCAAATGCTGAATGCTTCTATTCCCAGTTAAGCTAATTTGTCTCCTGTACATCTAGTGTCCAGCAGTGAACAAAATAGTTCCTAAGGCAAATTCTTACCCTGCAGTCCTCATGCATACAACTAATCCTTGCTCAAGTCAATAGGTCTACTCATGAGTAGGATTCAAATTGATGAGATTCCTAATTCTCTTATCACATCTCAGCCCCAGGACCAATGAGACAAGAATAGACCAAGACAATGTGTGGGTAGAATAAATGAGAAGCAAAGAATGGGTGCCTCTTCTGATATGGTAGGCCTAAGAGTAGAAAGGATAAATTAACATATGGAAATGTAGTATGGGCAGCAAAACTATTTGCATCATGAAGTTGTTTCCAATGTTTTTTTGAAATTTAAGGTATTAACAATTTAACATACTGCAGGTACAATAAAAGTAATATGTAAATAATATAATTAATATCCAAGAGCTGATAGACTAAAAACTCCGAGAAAAAGTACAGATATATCTTCAAACTGAAACTGAGAGTGTAAACATTGCAAAGTGCCTGCTGTAAAATGAGTACACCATTTTCACAGTCTGCCAGTAGTGTCTCCTAAAAAGACAGAGGAGAATTGCCTTCATTTTGCAGCCAGCTAAAGAATGTAAACTGCCATATTCAGTCATTCAAGCATCACACTAACTTAAAATTTTTCAGAAGTAGAAATGACTATGTCTTGAAAAAATTTCATTCCAGTTGTTTGGCTAGCTATGTATTATGGCATACAGTGACATGTAACATGAGTCTTAAAATTTCAGTGTAATTATTTTAAAAGCTTCATCCTTGTAACAAGATTCATATATCCTCATTACTCCAGTAAGTTTATGGCCTTAAAATTTCACTCACGCTCTTCCCCAATGATGTGTTGCATGTTCTGATAAACAAGCATCCAAAGACTATTATGACTAATAACACTTGTAATTAGTTGATTTTTCCCAACAATAACTCTTGATTTCCAAGACCACACCTATGATGTATTAGGTGTTCAAATATTTCAAACTTCAAAGAATCCCTTCTCAAGAGAAAAAAACAATTATTATGAAGTATTTTGTTGCACATATAAACAAGATTGAATTTAAAATGAATGCTTAAAATATTAATCTCTAAAAATCTGAATCAGATAAAATCATAGACTGTAAAAGATCACCCACTGCTCAAAGCTTCCACAGACTTTAAAGGGTATTGGTTCAGGCCCTAAACTGAGATCATGAGATCTTGATTTTAAGATACTATTTTTTAAATCTTCAAAAGTTGTTCCTAAATAAATAAAAGAAGAAATAAATGCATTAGTACCTGCTCTAGAACTTTTCTATCTTTTATTATAACAAATTATAATAAAACAAGTTAGTAAACCTGAGAGTTAAGAGGGCAAAACTCTTCCAGAGAATCTTTCTCATTATCCATTGTTTTCCCTCCCACACAGAAAACTAGAACACAGATGCCCTTGGTTCTTAGAAATGAGTAGAAAGAAAAGAAAAAGCTGCAAGAGCAGAAAGAGCTCAGATTCCAGAGAATGTAAGTTTACAGAAATGTTTTATAAAATAAAATCAACAGAAACATATGTGGCTATTCTTAATTTACTCACCAAGACAGAAATTCTCTTTTGTGCCCAGTCTTTGTCACATTGGAAATATTTACACTTAAGTGTGGTGGATACATACAGGTAACGTATTACATAATGGTGAAGCTAGTTCCTATACTTTAGTTAAGCTGCTATCCTATTTATTTCTGGCAAAAGCTTTCCAAATATATTGTTGTTCAATTGCCTCAAAATGTCACCATTCTTGGTGTAAATCTCAGTGTTGTCTTAGTTTAATAGCTTGTTCTAATCCTGTTTAAGTAGATGTCACTATTAAACTGTTACCTTGTAATGCACATGACCTTTTATTACAAAAACCAAAGGAAGACAGAATTTTATGTCATTGTGTGAATGCCATGAAATCTTGCCTAGTACAGCCAGGAAACACTATTTTATTCTACTTAAATCAGGTAGCTGTGACTCACATCTTCTGTCAATGTGCCACTGACCTGCTGTGTGATTGTATTCATTAATCCCTTTGTTTGCTCATCTGTAAAAGGATTATAAAAGCCAACTTCCATAGAATTTACCCAGATTGCAAGCAAGCAGTGGGAACTCAGTGTGTTCACAGGAACAAAGTAAATATTAGGAGGGGTAATAAAATTTCTAATGTAGCTCTTATTATAAGCAAATAGAGTATCTTATACCCTAACAAAAGCAAAAATTTATTTTTTAAAATTGCAAATATATTGAATTTCTCAGATCAGAGTGAATTAATGTGGCCCATCCTGTTTATCTCATTTCGCATTCCTTATCAGTTAACTATGACAAAACTAGTTAATACTGAAATTGAAAAGCAATAATGTGGAAAATACACTAGATCTTAAAGATAGTGTAGGAATTTTCTATGAAAACTGTCTCAAAGCTAATCACATATTTATAATACTGCTTACCAAATCATGGGAAAATGTTTTTTCTTTTTTTTTTTTTTAACCTTGAATTAGATGCACAGTTGTCACCCATTTGTAAATGCCAGCAAAGTGTAGGAAGCCTTGAAAATAAAGCACATGAGGCTCTGTCTCACTTCACAGAGCCACTGGATGTACAGGGTGCTGAAGAAGATGGAAAAGATCATGAAAACAAGAATCAGAGTAGCTCAGATGCTTCTGAAGATAGAGACCTTGATAATGTATCAGACATTGAAAAAGAAGGGAAGAAGGAAAAAAACTGCACTCCTAAAATGATCTCACCTCAGCAAGATGAAATGCTAGCTACAGTAACTTTTCGTGAGTTAGAGGGGTCATCCAAAGGAAAAATTACACTGTGGGGCAAGCCAGATTCTTCAGACTCATTTAGCTTGGCCACTGGAAAAATTTCTGCAGAAGTAAAATATGGCTCTTTTAATATTGAAATAGAAATTAAGAATATTTCTTTGTTTGATTCTGAAACAAAAGTTGGAGATCAACAAAGGAAGAGTTCAAAGAAAAACAAACGTCATGAAAGACAATGCCAGAAAAGTCAGTGTTCAAAATGTTCAAAGTACGAATGCCCTTTAACTGAACATTCAGCAGAACACAGGGGTAAATATAAGGGATCCTCTCTGCATAAAATTCAAAGTGCCATCAATGAAAGTCCCTCCATGGAAATGAACATTGAAACTAAACACATTCAGGTGGAATATACCAGCAGAAATAAAAATCTGAAGGTTAACATCAAAGCTGGTGAGCAGGCACAGAGCAAACCACTCAACAGGGAACACGAAGATACATACTGGAGTGAAACAGATTATTCTGTTACAGAGGCACTGGGTAACACAGACTGTGAGTCATTGCTTAGCTTTCATGAAAAAGCAGATTATACATTTCCAGATGGATATACACTTCTTCCTCCACCTAAAGAATTTGCTGACTGTGACAAAATGCACCTAGATACAATTGCAGAAGGCATATCTTCATACTCTGTTAATGGCAGAAAGGAATCTGACAGTCTCACTACAGCCTTGAGTATTTGGGGGGAAGAAAATTATTTCTGTAAACTTAACACAGAGGACTATGAAGACCATACCAATGAAAAGGAAGATTTTTCTAAGGATAAAATACTTTTCTCAAAAATAAATAATACTAATTGTCTCGTAGCTATTAATACCTTGCATAATCCAAACAATGGGAAAGAATGCGTTAATAAGAGCAATGTATTACATCAAGAAAGAAATAACTGTGACAAACACAGAGATAGAGGACCCAAAACAGCAAGAAGAAAGTCTTTCCCAGATACTACCCTGGAGGTACCATCACCAGTTCACCCTAGAAGGGATTCTGGCTTTTACTCACTGCCGTCCTTAAATGTATTGCTTAAGGAGACCAAAGCAGATGTCCGTAACAGGAACTCACATATTCCTACGAAATATAAGGAACTTTTTAAGTGTCCTGACTTGACCTCCTCTCTGACAGAGCTTTGCAAGTATCCTGACTTGACCTCCTCACTGAGAAATTTGAGAAGTCTTAAGTCTTCATATCAGTATGCTTTGACATCATTTGATCGTAATATTACCATTTATCCATCTGAGCCTGAAGAAGGTGTCTGTCTAGATGGCACTTGTTTGCTGAAAGACTGTGCAGACTGTGTGGGGCAAGATGAAGAAACAGAAGAAACATTAATGGAGAGTCTTCATTCCAGAGGTACTACACCTGACAAAAGAGAAAATGACCATGAAGAGCCTCTGGGAAACCTATCCATGTGGGAAGAAGACTCGGAGTCTACTGAAGCTTTAGATAAAGAGAAATCAGATTACAGCTCTGTAGAAAAGCATGTTGAATGGCAAAACAAAGCTCACCTGATACAAGCCTCTCCACTTTCTACAAGCCCTTCGGGTGAATTCATTAATGATAAAGGAAGTACTAATTATGCATCTACAGAAAGCATCCCAATACAATGTTCAGTTTTACCATTAAATGTTCACCCACCTTATGCACAGTCTGAGATAACAAATAAAAGGAGAGACTCAGTACTGACTGACCCTCCAGTTATAACCGGAGAAGTAGAAGGAAGGCTTGTCCAAGGCAACACTACATTGACACCTGAATATTTTGGCACTGCAGTGAGGAAAGAACCTAACCTTACCTGCAGTATACAAGAAAAATCCTTGCTGTCATCCTTGTTAGATCACAAAGAGAAAAACATGAATAAAGCATTGGAAAGCCTTTCTGAGGTACAGTACGTATCTGGAGATGTCCTTGTTGAATCTGATTGCTGTAATAATTCAGCACAGATCTTCGTATTATCTACCTCTTCAGTATGCACAGAAAATAAAGAGAATTTTACAGAACATTTAAACATTAAGCAAAGATTGGAGGACTTTTGCAGTAAACAGTCAACTGACAATAGTTTAAGGAGAGAGCCTGGAGTAAATCAACTACCTCTGTTAGTCAAGTCCAACTCTGAAGAAATTGAATCAAATTTTGAAATGAAAGAAGATTATTATGAGACTGCAGATATGTCATCATCAGTAAGACATATTAGTCAGAAAGGTAGGTGTTACAACACTTTTCAAGTTAATATCACTTACACACCTTTTGCATAGGAGCTTTTGTGACATCTGTTTACTTGGTAAATAAATACATATTAAAAGTTTTCAATGATATTGTTATGGTATATGTTTAGCCATGGGGTTATAATATGCAGTTACTCTGCTGAGGATTCTAGGATCCATCTTGCAGAGCCAAAACATTGAAATTTAAAAAAAAACCAAAAAGAATTAATGCAGCTTTGCTCAAGAAGCAGTTTTATTACATTAAATGTCCCTCCTATCCTGTACATCTAGTGAAAGAAGAAAGCACCATTGCTGGAAGTAATAGTAAAAGCAGTTGCTATGTGATATGAGCTCAGAGCGCAAGTCTGTGTTTAAAACCATATAAATCTAGCTTTCAAATCCATGTGATCAGCATGAATACTGAATATATATACTGGCCTAACATTTTCATTGGATGACCATAGGGGATCCTTTAACCTGCTTTTCTCCTCTCTTTTACATGTTTGGAGAAACTGTGTATGGAAAAGGCTTATTTTTAATAGCTAATTTTACAAAATTTCTTGTCTTTCTTTTTTTTATCCATGTATCCATACCCATAACTTGTCTTTTAAAATGAGTGTTTTGAAGTATAAAAATTTTAAGCCATCCTGGGATATTGCACACTACAATGTGAGCCTTTTACATTATGAATATGTACACACATATGTGTGTATGTATTGTTAAAATATCACTCCAAATGCTTTAATTTTATTTTTTATTATTTATCAGGCTATATGCAAATACATCTCAAATTCATCTCTCCAGAAGGCAATGTTTCCAGCAGATTTGGAGGTTAAGAGGTTTATATAATTGAAAAATATACATTTTCTTATGGAAAATGTCTAATATAATCCTAGTTCAAAGAAGCTGAAGTTTTAAAAAATCTTTTCATTCACCATACCTGCAGAAAGACTGGTATGACCTCCGTGGCTGTCTTGTTTAGCATTGGTAATGGAAATTAAAAAAATTACCTGAAGTATTTTATACACTATATAGATATTACTACATAGATTCATATTGCTATATAGACCAGTATCTCAACATAATATCTCAATACCAATATCTTGGTATCAATATGTAAACTAGAGAATTGATGAAATGGAAATCTCTATAGAACAAGGTATAGAATTAAGATACTAAAGGAAACAGTACGCCAAAATCCTTGACTTCTCAGATGTTAGACCTAAATGGTTAAGGACACAGCCCAGAAGTGAAATATAGCTATGTTTTTCTTTTTTTTTCTTTTCTTTTATTCTCTCTTCGCTTTTGCCCTTTGGTAAGAATTATCTACGTGTGTTCTTTCTCAAACCTGTCATCTTGCTTTGGCCCTCTTTTGGTCCAGGGTCATATTTTGATTTATCTTCATTCCCAGCAATGCTGTGGAGGTCCTTCTTTAAATGAATAAATGTGTACATTCAGAATAAATTTTACAGCCTACTTTACCAAGACATTGGGCAGTGTGGGACTTACGGAGTATAGTAATCCAGTGACACTGGAAAGCAAATGTGTCATTTTTCTGCAAAGAATGAGAACTTCTACAACAGAGGAGAAGAGATGCTACTGTGGTAAACAGGATGGGGGAAAGGCAGTCTAGAAGCCTCTAGTGTTCTGGGTACTTCATGAGTGTATCAAAGAGGAAAAGACCCCTGCAAAGGGCACTAGAAGGGCATTGAAAGAGATAGGTTTCCTGAGTCTCAGCAATGGTCTGGAATAGTGCCCTGGAATGGCCTTGCTGAGTTACATGTGATGAACATCTGGCTGAAGCCAGAAAAAGGCTGTGCAGCCATGAGTGTATCTACAGAGTCCTCCAGGGAGCCTGTGGAGGTTGGACTTTCTCTCTATCTGTCCTTGCCAGTGGTTACAGTCACATTTTTAATACAGAATATAAGATTTGTTTTATCATTGTTGTTTTATCTGAAATAATAATGCAACAATTAAGGTTATTCTGCCTTAACTAGAAAGAAGTCTAAACCAGAAAAATCTTCATGCATTTCTCACAAGATTATTAGTATTCAAAAGGAGTTTATATATCTATCTACCTATTGACCGCTTCAGAAATGTATGATATTAAGCAAGACCATGAGCAATCTACAAGTTTCTGCATTAAAATAGTGATGTACTATGCTGTGTAGATATTTAACTAGAGACACTTCTACTCAATTAGTATCAAATGCATATTTTCAGAATATTTTCAGTATTATTTGGTATTTTCATTTATATATTGGTTAGATTATTCTTGGATTTAGAATGTGGAGTTATTACACAGTAAAATTACTTATACAAGTTGTGTCACATATTTCTCATGAACAACATCTGGTTATAACTTAGACTTGAAATCAGAAATGAATAAAACAAGAAAATTGCCTTTGAAGAAAGACGCCAGAGCAAGTGACAGTTCCCAGGAAGATGCAATAGATCAGTGGGCCAGAAGACGGAAACAGTTCAAAGACAGTAAAAAGTGCAGTTCAACTGGAGGAAGCTCCATAAACAGCACAATCACTGAGGGATCAAGTGAGTACTTTAGTATTACACTTGGTATCTTTCCTGTATGTGTAATTGGTAATATGACAGGCTTTTCAGCTAAGGAAATTGATCTCCAGTTTACTATCCAAATGTCTCTGTTAGTCATTATCATAAGTAACATAAAACATCCTTTCTCCTTGGTTAAGCAAACAATCTGACTAAAAAAAAGTTGATTCTACCATGCATGTTCATGGTAGGACATGCTCAAATTATATGCTCAAATAATATTAAGACAAACTTTAGGCACAAATATGTAATTATGTGCCAGCAGGTTTGAGGTTATAACAAAAATCATAATCCTGATATCTACTTATATCAAAGCATGTTGAGCTGGGTGTCTTTCCTCCTCACAAAGGTAACGACCTGCTCCAACTTTAATCTACACTTGTTGCCTAGATTGTTATTCACTGTGACTCATAACTGTCTCTTTAAGAGATCTGTCACCTTGCCACATGCAAATTCATCAGCTTAAACTTCATGGGAAGGAAATTTTAAGATTAACTACTTAGTGAATTTAAATTGCATGCAGATGCAGTCACCAAACAGGGATTGCACAGTCTAGGGAGAACATATGTGGATATGTGGTACTTCTCACTTAACACTGCTTTACCTCCTGTTTTGCTATTTTAGTAATATAAAAAATACTTTGTGGAGATGAAGAAATGTGCACTTCCCTGTGGAAATATTTTGTGCTATGAGTTCTTTTGGTACAGGAAATTTTATTTGTAGGTGTATAGCCTCCTCTTCGAAGAAGGGAAAATATGGACATATAGAAGACTCTGAACTCTGAGTCCTCAGTGCAAGTCCAATAGATGATAAGGTATAAATATGTTCCGTGCCTGTACCAAAGAGGTAAATCCTACATTAATTCCCTTCTTATACATAGATTTCAGTTGGCAGCTGGGTTGCCAAGAGGGACCTGAGATATGTGAACCAGCAGGGAACCCAAGCCTTTTTGAAGTAGTAATTGAAAAGCAAGCAGGATATCCTGAGGTATCTAATATGGTACAGCCACCTCTGTTCAGGTAACTGAGCCACACCCTACAATTTTAATGCCTGTTAACAAAGATGGTGTGTCTAACATTTCACATGGGAATAAAGAGGCTCTTTATTGGTGGCAATTTTCATTGCTTGCCCCTAAAACAGGTTCTATGCCATCATATTAAGACTATTAAGAAAGACATATTAAGAAAGTTACCATGTCAAACCACCTGTGCTCAAAAAAACTTTCCAGAAGCTATACACACCAGGCTAAACTATTCCTTGATTTCAACAGTGATGTCTTAAATAAAAAGTTGGACCATAAATTTTACTAAGTTAGGCATGTGTTGGTTTCATAAAGGAAGCATATGTATATCTTTTTTAACATATCAAACAAGTCAAAAAAGAGCAAGTTGAAAGAGCTAAAATTTCTTTCCTTGAGACAAAGTTTTGGGTAGCACATGGCATATACCCAGAGTGGTCTCCAGAACAGGTGACTGGGCAGACGATTTTGTCAGATTCTCACATCTAATCTTTTTGGATAGTATGCACAGGCCTGAGACTTCTGTCCCTTTTGGTTTGGTAGCTTGACTTACCCTCTGTTGGCAGACAACTCTGATTGACGTATGGAAGCATCAGCTCCTTACATTCTTACTTCCAGCATCTGGGAATAATTTAAATGTGCTTGTTTGTGATTCTCCAGTTTGACATCTGTTCCAAAAACTCAAGGATAAGAGAAAGGAAATGTTTTGGCATAATTCCATGGCAGTGTCAGCATGGCAGTGTATATAGTTTTGCCTATTTGTCACATTTTAATCTACTCTAACTCTACTCAAATTACAAAAATTTAGCATTAAACTGGCAAAATACTGTGCTGTACTGGGTTGTTTGGTGCTAGTCTAGGTTTTAACTTAAGCATTCGAGGAAAAATGAGCTTTAAACATATCAGCATAGTAATATTTATTTATTTATCTATTTGCTAGTAACTTCTTAAACAGTTAAGCATGTAATCTCATACTTTCTGCATAAGGGAGGAGCCAGTGGACCTGGAGTATTTGTCTAGATAGACACAACTGAGCACATTTTCTAAGAGAAGAAAGGACTGCCACTTAGATGTATTCAGGGAGTGACTTCCTGAACAAATATAACTTTAAATAAAGGTATATTTGTATCTTCTCTGTTTTTATCCTGGTAATCATTTTACATCAAACACAGGATAAACAAAACAAACAGATCCTTCCTCCAGCTGCATTAAATCTAGCTGCATTATACCAGGCATTTCATAGTGAAATGTATGTGATGTTTTTTTCCTCTCTGAAAATTTATATTTTTAGTCTATCTGTTAGCACAGCATCTGATTATGTATACTTATATATGACTTTCACCATCCAGTCATAACTTTGAAGTTCCAGCTCCTGGCCTGCTTGGGATGTTGTTGGACTATTTATTTACATTCAGCTTGCTGTTGTTAACCTGTCACAGCCAGCTGCCTGACATCCTGTTGCCTTGAGAGTCTCAACTTTAGCAGAGAATTAGAGCTCTCCTCCATTTCTATGTGAGTTCTCCTCCATTTCCATGTGAACTCATTACAAGATATTGGGAATGTAAATTATTATAAAGTAGGACTCTGAAAATTCTCAGGATAACACATCACACACATATTCAACAGCCAATGAAGGAACTAGCCAGGAGTTCTATGGTAAAAGACAAAAGAAAAAAAAAACCCACCAAACCATTGTTTCCTCACCTCCTTTTTAAAAAAATTTCATGCCTGGAAGAGCTAAGATTAAGAAAACAGAAAATATGGTAATCAATGCCCCTGTCATGGAAAATACTTTTCAGCTTCTCTTTTGTCTTCTGATATGAATTGAACTCATGCTAAATTTCTAGAAGATTTTTTTGATTTCCTAATCAAATGGGTCACATTAGATAGCTTAAGAACTAGCTAAAGCCAGATTTGTCCTAGAGTTGCAGCTCCCGTTTTGACCACTTGCGTTAAGACTTCACTTCTTACTCAAGTCCAACTGCATTAGCTTCCAGTATTGTGATCTTAGATTTGGAAATCCTTGCAGACTTCTCCTTTAACAGCGACAGAATTGAGGACTTCAGTACAAACATTACAAACAGTTAATTAAGAAGTTTGTGGCACTTCTTGCATGCTGAGTGGCTGAGGTCTCTTATTCTTCATACATTTTCCCTCCTGACATAACTTTTACTTTTTTTATCACCATGACAGTAAATTCAGAGGATGCTCGATCAGTAGATCTGGGACTATATTCTGAAAATGAGGACAGAGGTTTTTATACAGAAAATTTTCATTCTGCTTCCTGGGTTTTCAGAGGAGATGATGTCTCTCCAGATAACAGTCCTAGATGTCTCAGCAAAAGACCTAGACCAGTGGCAAGTAAGTTGGCTAGAGCAACAGGTAATAAATGTCATAAAAATTTATTCATTTTGGGCACTCTGAAGATTTCAGGGGAATGACATTTTGGAGTAGGTGCTGGTCTTATGCTAAAGAAAGGAAAGGGAGCAACCCAAGAATCTAAAAAGCTTATTTAAAAAAGAAATAATTCTTGTTTAGCTATTATCTTGCAAAATATCATCATTACTTGATAAACTGGTTAAAGTGCATAACTGATCTTTATGAGGTAAGGGTAGAGGCAATGTAATTCCATGACTTCTTCAAGCTTGCCAAAATCTTAGAGATATTTATGGTCATAAAGTATTACAATGGACATAAAATCTGATTTACATCAAACTTTCAGGCATAGTTGATCTAGAAAGAAAATAATCATTTGCTAGGAGTATGGAAGATTTTTCTATTTGTAGTTTAAATCTGTGCAAACAGATCTAGTGAACAACTATTTCTTTGGGAGGGGAGATTTTCCTTCACTTCTCAAATGTTAAGTTACTCAAAAGTAACAACAGTTCAAAGAACTATCACAAGCTGAAACACCCCTATAGCTTTCCAGAAATTTGTCCTTCGTTGGAGCTCATAAATAATTCAGAATATGAGGGAAAAAAAATGTCCACTATAAATCTTCTGATATGAAAAATTTCCCTTAACACAGGTGAGAATATTCTGGAAAACCATTTTGGTTGCTTCTTCTCCCAGGAGAGAGCTCATCAGAACTTCAGCATGATTGTTGAAGTCTATATTGAAGTATCTATTTTGGACAGATAACATTGATGTCATGCATATCAATTGGCCTGATATTAAAGTAATCTTGAAAGCAATTTCTGTCTTCTGAATAGTACACAATTTGACGACAAAACAGCTGTCATAAATTACTATTGAATTGGCCTCCATTAAGAAAAAATACATAGTAAGGTAGTCAAATGATCAAAACCAGAGACTCCAAGAAATCAAATTTACATTGAAATAATTCCTAAGTATATTTGCTAAAGAACCAGGCCATTTAAATCAGAATAATAATACTAATAGACCCTGAGAAAAAGATGGAAGTAAGCAATTGGACCCTGATCTTCCTTTTTACAGAAGTTTATCCCTTTAAGTGTTAAATTCTGATGAGTTGAAAGATATTTCAGCTCCCCTTGGCAGCAGATGACACTGTGGCTGGGGAGGTTGAACTACAGGACTGGAAGGTATTCTGAGAGTGTGGAGTGGATGGATAAACAAAAGGAGAAGAAACAACTACCCAAAAGATAGATGCCTTATGAAATATAAAAACAATGAAACTACAAGCCACAAATTTAAATTCATTTGAGAAATTAGAGTGTATTTTGTGTTTGCAGCATAGAAGTTTGACATAGAGGGCATGAGTGTTTTTCTCTCCCAAAACACCATCAGTAGAGTGGAATACCTGAATACTTCAGCCTACATTACAAAGTGCAAGCATTTAATTTAAATTGCTGTCTGCCTATGCCCTAGCATGAATGATACTTGATTTGTTGCAGTCTGAGGTAGCGAAAGCACCCCAACTATTTGTAAAATCAGTAATGCTCAGTACCTACAAAAACTTTTAAAAACAGACTGCTGCTTATTAAATTGAATGCTTAAAGAAAAAAGGTATCTTTCTTCCTATTTCCAGTTCGAGAAAGAACAGTGAAGATTGCAAAAGGAACTGGCAATTACCCTTGGGGTTTCAGGATCCAGTTCTCAAAGCCTATCCTTGTGACTGAAGTCGACACAAGTAAGTTGTGTTCGTACTGGTTAATTTCGCCTGTGGAAATATATAAAAAGTAAATACATACTATTATATGCACTGATATAATGATATGATATGATATGATATGATATGATATGATATGATATGATATGATATGATATATATCTATATGATCTACATAGTATAGAACATCTGTGTTATATTAATTTATAATATTGATATACACAATAATTTCCTTAATTAGTAGGTGCAAGGTGTTTGAGAGCAAGAACTGCTAATGAGCAATTGTCTTAGAGTCCCTCTGTCCCTAGCAGTAAATCAGACTCCACTGCCCTGTCTTCTTCCATGTCAGTTCATACCTTGTGCAAGTGCCTGCATTTTGCTTCTCTCAAGATGTAAAGTCTAAAACTTTTTTGGGCTGACATCAATGAATGACAATAGGCCATTAAAAATTAAAATGATGATGCAGTGATCCTTCTAATGTTTCCAAAAATGTTATTGGCTAGGGACACTTCTTCTTGGATCAATCAAGCCATCTGTCAGTCTTGACAGGTGGACTGTTAACTTCTTCTGGTAATTATGATGATTGTAAGAAACCCCAAAAGAAGCTCCAAAACCCAAGTGAGTGAGCAAAGAATGGCAGATGATTTTCAGCGAAGATGAAATGTAAGGATGGTGCTTCTAGAGAAGAATGAGCTAGCTGTACCATGCCTTAATAATGGTGTTGGCACTTTTGCTCAGGAATGAGATCTTGGGAGTCACCACTGAAAAGTGTCTGAAATCATTGGCTCTGTGCATAATGTCAACTTAGAAATCTGGCTAAAAGCTGACTCAGTCAGTAACAGCAGAGAGAATGAGACACAGGCAGTCTGTCATTTTACTGCTGCCTAAGACCTTGGCTCATCCAAATCAAGAGTACTCCTTGCTCTACTGCTCTGCATCTCAGGACAGGCACAGTAGAATTTGGAAAAGAGCAGAAGGTACAGGAGACTATGATAGATTCCTACTAGAGATAGATTCTTACTAAAAATAGCAGATACTAGGCAAAATGTCATCCCGTACAGAGAAAGCTAGTGCATGCCTTCAGGAATGGCATCTGAGAATAGCTCTGTCACTATTACCAGTCTTACGTATTAGATTGTCCATCATCCTGACAACACTGAGAAAGCCTGTGAATTCAGGAGCATGTGAATTCATAAATTCTTTACCTAAGTACAAATAAAATCATATATCATGCATACAATAGCTCTGACACTTACCAATTTATCGCTACTAGTTAAAATTAAGTATAGCAACTCACATTTTATATCACTCTTTGATTTGTATGTTGTTTTCAAACACAGTAGCTTTAAAACAGTGACAACATTAAAAAATAAGGTTTTTCAGACAAGCTTGTAGTAAAATTATGTTTTCTCAAAATATAACTCATTTCATTAGGAAGAAATTCTTCCCTGTGAGAGTGGTGAGGCACATCACATCTTGTCCAGAGAGGCTGTGGATGCCCCATCCCTTCAAATTTTCATAATATTTTTATAATCCAGTTATGGTCATAAATTCTGGTATGGCATGCTCAAGGCCAGCCCAACCCAAAATGTTCTGACATTAACAAATTATTTTTAATACACATGCGGTGGACTGGGGCTTTATTGTGCCTGATTATTATTAAGCTTTTACTAATCTTATCCCTACAATTTCTAAACATTCTCAGAAATACACTGAAGGATCACATTTACTGCATCATAGGGAGCAAAATCTTAAAAAGCATACAGTAAATGTTAAGGACATGAAATAATATTTTCCAAAACTATTATTTTACAGTACATTCAGAATAGTTATTTATAAATGAGAAGATAAATACTGTATTTGAGAAATTTGTAACTGGGATTTAAGTAACTGTGTTGGTGCCCATGAATAGAGTATATTTATCACCTCCCTAGTTTATTTCCATTCCTGGCTAGCATGTTTCTGAGCAGTGTTTTATTAGGAATGCATGTGCTTTGCAATGGTTAACAAATAAACAAAAGGTGATGCATTAAAAATCTGATTCAGTTCTTCCTTCACTAGGACCTTTTTAACTTACCATGTAATTTGTTCCTAAAGCCAAAAATTCTCAAAATGCTATATCCAAATTCTATTAACCAGCAAAGATAAATATCAACACAGAAGGTACTCTTTTGGGGTTAAATTCAAAGTTTATCAGAATAATAGATAATTTTTTTCTAGTGACTCTACTGAGCTTTGCATCACATCTTTCTTTGCATTTCAGGCCAAAAACTCTCAGATACTGAAATGTCTATTTGAATCCTAAAGCATTTAAATCCTAATGTCATTTTAAATGGAATTTCTCCATTGCCAGTGATTATCTAGGGTTGCATCCATATCCAAATCCTGAAGCTTCATTAACAGATGAGTAACTGGTTGGTCAGTAAAACTTGTTTCACCTCCAAGTTGACATCATGAAGGCCCTAAAACATAATCCTTGATTGGTTGAACAGATACTTGTTTTGCTAAAGAAGTGTGATCATATAGTCACACTTGATATCTTAGCACTAAATAAATTTTTGTGGTTTTTTGTTTTGGTGGTTTTCTTTTGTTTGTTTTTGGTTTCGTTTCTTTCTCTTCCTCTCTCTTTTTCTGTTTTTTTTTTTTTATTTTTCTCTTTCTTTTCTCTTTTTCTCTTTTTCTTATTCTCTTTTTCTTTTTCTCTTTTCTCTTTTGTTTTTCTTTTTCTTCCAGATAGTGCAGCTGAAGAAGCAGGGCTTCAAGTTGGGGATATTCTGATAGCAGTAAATGGAACTGATGTCACCAGCATGCCACATTCAGAAGCTGCAAATCTGGCAAGGAAAGGTAATTCTGAATCACAATAAATTAAATGAATGGGTCAGGTTTTCTGTTGAATGCTTCAAGTGCATCCAGAGAAATGGGGTGATATGTGCAACAGAAATCTCAATTAATAGTTTAGTCCCTTACCATTTCATACAGTGGTATTGCTGAGGTATTGCTTTTTTATCTAGACCTTGTTTTTTAGACACTTTAGAAAATTAGTCCCCAAAGAGCATGTAACTGTAATGGTTTTGGCTCTCTTACAAAGAAAGTGACTCAGAAAGCCCTTAAAGTGACTAGAGTGACACAAATGCCTTATTTATGCCTTATACTTCCTCAGGGACAGACTTCACATCTTTCTGTTTCTCTGTTGCCAAGATCTGAAGTCTAGTCAGGAGATAAGAGCGTTCATTTCATGAGGCATTCTTTTGTACCACCACAGAGACAGTCAGGGATATTAGTCCAGTATATCCTTCCCAGAATTGTGATGACTAAAACCCAGAGATAGCCATGTTTACATGCGGAAAATTAGTTTACTGCTATTCCCGTATTTATCCCAGATAAATTTTTGACAAAGGATCATGAGAAATTCAATAAATTAAAATACTTTTACAAGGCAATGACAAATTTGACTTGACACATACTGTATAATTTAATTACAGAACTGCCATTCACACTATTTAAGAGAATGTTGAGTGTTTTAGCAGAAAAATCTGTGATTACTGGTATTTTCAAGTCCTCAGAGAACACCCCCTGGATTGAATCTTGGCACACCAACAACATTCCCAAAGTCAAGTGTCCAGCAAATGTTTTGAAGATGAAATTGTGTCCCAGTCACATTTTTCAATCTTCCTTCAGGCATTACCACTTGCTCTTTAGTGTTGAAGCAATCCGAATTTCTGGCCTTTAGGGTCAAAATCATAGATATATTGATACTGTCATCCAATATTGTGATGTTGCATCTCATTGATGATGTAGATAACATTTTTTCTTTAATCTTGCAACCCATAATCTCTTCTGAGTCCTTACATTTTGCAAATGATAACTAGATGCTTTAGCACAGGTTTGCTTCCAGCAGCCATCTTCCTCAGTGAGGGGCAAAGAAAAAGTTACCATAGTCCAAGGCATGGAAAATGAAGAATTCTCAAGAGCATATGTAAAATGACAGAGACTGAAGGTGCCCCTAAGAGCATTTTTAGCAATTTTTCGTTAAACCTCAATTTATGTACACCCTTTTGAGCAATGAAATTACTCAAGTTACTTCTCCTAACTGATAAAATAGACAAGCACCAAAGATGCTGCTGGCAGAAATAGGTCACAAAATTTTTTTTAGACATGTCTTCAGATAGCTGGCTCAGTTCTCAACACAAAATTAGTTCCATTGCTGAATTTGTGTTAAAAGAAGGCCAAATATCACTTGATTTAATATGCTTCATCAGCTGCTCTGCTTCTTTTTACTTCTAGAAGCTACACTGGGAAGACATGGGTGTGGTATAGAACACCGCCTTCCTTCTCCCTGACCTATATGGGTATTCAGAAATACTGACACATCTATAGTTTTGACTTATGTTTTCACATGTAATATTTTAGGTCCTGATATCCTGACAATGATAGTGGGATCAGACATCAGCCGTTACCCCAACACCCCCAAACCTACCTGCCGAGGATATCTGCACAAACGAACACAATCAGCAATACTGAAGGGCTGGAGAAAGAGGTGGTTTGTGCTGAAACATAATGGTTACCTACACTATTACAAACACAAGAAGGTAAGGAGACTGGCTGGTGAGAAGTCAGAATTCAGGAGTGTGTCCTGAATTATGGAGTGTAGGAGTTCTGTACTCAAATTTGCAGATCATTATATTGACTTATGGTATTTGCAGCATAACATCAATGATATAGGGTTTTGCATTAAGTGTGCAAAGGAGGCTTGTTGAATGTTCTTCTATAGTTCTCTATGTACCTTAAATTTCCAGCAGAATAGCTGGTAGTCTTGTTTCTCTGCATCTGTCATGGTAGACATATGAGCCATAAAATCAGGAATATGCTGCAGAACCACTGGGTAAGCAACAAAACAGTCTGGTGAGTGCTTTATTTCAGCACTAGCTATTCTGGTGTCAAAACAAAAGCAAGTAAAAAACTTCATATAAAAAGATGCAAACATGTAGGAAACATTCTTTTGAAGAGATTTCATTTTATCATAACCAGATCCATCATCAAACTCTTGAAATGTAAAAATTGCATATCTAGTTATACTTTTAAACACTTTCCAGTTTTTGATCAATTAAATATTACAGAGTGTTAGATAAATTGGAGTGAGGATTAGAAGGTGCCTCATAAGCTTACATTCTCTAAGATTTAATTACATTTTCACTTCTTCCTTTCAACTAGTAGGCTTCTTTTAATTCATTTGTTCCTCAACTACCTTATTATTGCACTAAGAAAATAAATATTTCAATCATGCAAACTATGTGCATTTGCTTTTTCTTAAAAAGAGTAAATACAAGTAAATACTGCTTATTTTCTTGCATTATCCTTGCATTATCCATAAGTGCCCTTCAATTGCTTTTTAAATGATTTCATGCTGGTTTTTTGCTCTCTGTCCCTGGACTCCAAAGAATACATTTCAGAATACTGAAATATTGAGGTGTTATTTTAGCAGATGAAAACACAAGGATTTTCTTTACTGCCTTATGTGTTTACAGAGTACTCTGAAGAATCATTTAGTAAGAGAGAGAGGGAGCAAGATACTTAAAACAAATACAGTTCTTCACTACTGAGAGAACCTAATGCTCAAATGAAATAAGAGGGATCTCAAGTGTACTCAATGGCACTTTTTTCTTTTGGTACGATTTCTCTCAGGATGTTAAAAGAGGAATGCTCATCCCACTTTTTTTTCTACAGGAATTACAAATAATATTTTTCTTTTAACACAACTTTTTATTTTTTATGCCAGCTGCATGATTAAATTGGCAATATTATGTTCCTGATCTTGCCTCATTCTGGAGGAAAAAAATTTTCACTTACTGTATCTAGGAAGTTCTTTGAAATAGTTCATTAAAGGCAAGAATAATTCAGGAATTTTAAAAAAACTTCAGGAAAAGCTGTCACTATCCAGCAAAATGGCCAGGATAATCAATTTACTCATCTTCATTCTGTTGTTAAGAACATCAGCTTACATTCGTGTATTTCCAGTGACTCCAGCAAGGCCATGCCTGGTTTCCAGTTGTGTAAGAAGACAACTTTTATTTAAGCCTGAAATGCAGCATATAATGTTTTGTAGTGGAGAAAGGAGAGGGCGATTCATCTCTGCTTCAGTCCATATTGAAAAACACGGGGAGCTAGATTTCCTCATCATTGTAATTTACAAGCAGATATTATCCATCTTGAATTTTTCTCTTCCCACCTACCTTAAAAAGAAGATTCCTAGAGTTTTTTACATTTGACTCTCCCATGTAATTGCTGCTCTTTTTGAGTCATCTCTAGCCATTCACACAGTGGTGAAGTGATAGCTGTTGGAAAATATTCAGTCATTTCCCATGCAAAGTTACTTTCTTTCCCCTCAAAAAGATGCTGCCAACAGAAATCCTTGACTCTACAATCCATATCATTAGCTAAAACATTTTTTTCACTTCAGTGGTTGTAGCTGTGTTTGCCACCTCAGAGCAGAGATATTTTTGTGTTAGAACCTTGGTTTTGGTAAATTACTGAGATCAGCAGAAATAAATTATTTGTAATACTTTTGCCTATACTTGGCAGCCATGGAGTTCCTCTATATGTTCTACAGGTCTGATCCCCTTTTGTCCAGAACACTGGATCTTCTCAAACATGCTAAATCCTTATTTTTCAACATGCCCAGTTTTTCTCTAAAAGGAAAGATGTCTGGAAATTATGAGGAGACAAATATGAACGTACACTTAAATCCTTCCCTAAGGCAAGTATAAGGAGACAAGTTTCTTGTGCTTGAACTTAACACATTTTTTCAGGGAAAGCTGAAAACACAGTCACACACTGATCCTTTCTTTACAGATAAATTAAAATGGTGCTTTTAAAGGAGCAACGTTTACTCTAAAAGTACCATTTGCTGCTCATCACAGTAAAGGGGCTGCAAAGTAACCACAAAATGTTTCTAGTGAAGTATAGAACAAATAGGTCTTAATCAGCTTTACATGAGACCAGTAAGATAGAAAAAACAATCTACCTCACAGCAGCAGAGCATCACTTCAACCTGTTAAATCTCTAAACTGTCATCAGCAAGTCACTTTTAGAACATAACAGCTAACTTGCAAGCCTTAAAATTGGTTGCAGTCTTCAGGATTAAAAAAATACTGGTCTTGTGACTTCATTAAAGAAAAGGAATCTAATTTCCAGGACCCAGGAACAAATGGGGCATTAAGGGGTTTAAAGACTGTGGAGCCTGCATTCATTTATCATGGTAAAATACCTGCTAGACTGCGAACAGTGTTTGAGGCTTAATAGGAAAACACAAGGATTAAGAAGGCATTATAGTCAAAAATTAGTTTCCTAAAATTCCTCATTACAAATATCCACCATGTAAGATGTTCAACAAATTTAATACTGGCTTTTACAATACCACTAAGTGAGGGTGCCAGTAAAAGCCAGAATTTCCTAAAAAATATTTATAACAAGCTCCTATCAGGTTTTTATCTTGCAGTGTTTCTAGGAATTGTTTTCAGCCCTTTGGACATAAGTAGATCCTGGTAAAGAGGATAGCAAGACAGATAACTAATTTAGCTCCTGAAAGGTAATGAAATAAATATCATTGTGGTTATCGTCTAGGAGAAACTCTAAAGAGGCCTGTCTCCAACAGGAAAGAGTTATTAATGTATCTCCTTTCCAGAGATACATTACAGATCCTGACTTCCTTTCCAGATGTCAGAGATTGATTAATTCTAGTCAAACCAGTTCTATCAGGTCCTTGTATTACTTTTGTAATTTATTCCATTTCACTGTACAATTCCCTCAGCTAAGAATGATGTAGAACTGTAGTAGTTAGAAATAAAGATGTAAAGAGTATGGGTTTGTTGCCAGCATTTTGTATGGACTCCAAGCAGGAAAGTCAAAACAAGAAGCTGTGATAGCAAGGAAGTAGGAGCAGTTACGTTGGAAGGAATAGTCAAGTTGGAAACTATTGCCCTGATAATAGAAAACAGCATGCTTTAGAGATTCAGCTGTAGTGAGAGACTGAACTGTGAATAAAGTGAAAATTGACTTTCCTGTGTAGCCCCAAGTCTCAGAGAAATGGCCTTCATGACAGTTCATGCTGGTAATGCTCTGAAACATGTTATAAGAAAACTACAACATACAGTCTTGAAAAGCACTCCTCCAGTGGCAGCATTGAAGGACAGGAATGTGCTTTTTTGTAATCATATATAATAATGTCAATTTTAAAAAGATAATTATGATTTGCATTTCTTAAGCTCCTGTCGAAGGAAGGGGACCAGGACACCATTTGGTTCATCACAGGCCCTCAGGTTCGGTCCGGTCCCGGTCCCTCAGGTCCTTCTGGTCCAGTTTATTGAAGAAAGTATCAGACACTTATACAGCGAGCCATAAGCTTATGAATATTCTGTAAGCCAAG